GTAAATAACTTATCTCTAAATTTCTCCCCAAGAACACTCCTCGAAGTTCCTCTGAATCTCTTCCTTTCTTTACAGCACACAAAATTCCTCTTTGAAGTAGCAAGGAGGAAGAAATCTCTCACTTTCCCTCCACTCTTACAAGTTCTCAAAGAATTCCTCACAATTATACGCTCTAGCAAGCTTTTGTCTCTCCTTTTCTGCTTCCAAGCTTACTCCAAACTTACTCTCCCCCTCCTCAATTTTCATCCAAAATGTTCTCTTTAAAGATGTGGATGAGTTTTCCCAAGAGTTGCTTACGCACCCCTCCAAAATCCTGCCTTATCCATTGTACATGCCTCATAACCGTCGATCTCGCCATCGGTGGCCTCGATGGCATCGTCAGCGCCCTTCTAGAGAATTTGTCTCGTAGCCTCGAGAAAATCTCGTCGTTGGCGGCCTCGATGGCGCCGTTGGCACCCTAGTGCAATTCTCCATATTTTGGTCCTTTTTGCTGCAAATTCGCTCCTTTTTGCATCTTTTTGCTCCATTGACCCTAATTCATCATCCCTGCAACAAAACATCAAAAATACTTTTCCTTAAAGTGAAATATCATTAAAAATAGTATAAAAGAGGTATGAAAATCTCAACCTATTTTCCTTTGGTCAAATATCCACAGGGCTGATCTCTTTGATTTGGGCTACATGGGGCCTGCTTTCACTTGGAAGAGGGGAGTTATTTGGGAGAGGCTAGATAGAATGTTGGTTAATGATGCTTGGGTTGACCAATTCCTCCTTACTTTTGTCACTTATCTTAGTCTTGCTGGCTCTGATCATAGACCTTTACTTATCTGTATTACTTCTACTGATAATTATAACTCCCCTCCCCCTTTTAGATATCTTAATATGTAGGTTGCACACCCTTCCTATAAAAAGTATATTGCTGACCTTCAAAATGGGTTCTCCCATTCTGATCCCTTTATCAAGTTAAGTCTACTACAAATCAAAATTGCCAAAGCTCTCAGAAATTGCAATTGGGAAAAAATTGCAGTTGGGAAACCTTTGAAAATGTGCAAGCTAGAGTCCAAGATGCTAAGGATGCAGTCAAAGCTTTGGAGCAAGAGGAATAGATTGGATATGTGGAGGAAAAGAAATTGATGATTGCTCAGAACAATCTTCTTAGTGCTATTGATTATCAGGAGAGATTCCTTAAACAAAAGGCTGTTATGAATATCTTCACTGATGGGGATAGAAATACCAAATTCTTTCATGCCTATATAAAATATAGAAGAAAGTGCAACACAATCCATGTTATTCAAAATGCTAATGTCCATTGGTTACATGATAATATTGATATAGCTACTGATGCCATCAAATATTACAAAGATCTGCTAAATCAGGACCAAAACATCATATCCCTTATTGAGAAGGCATACTTCCTTCCTGAACTGAACTACACTGCTAGCCTCATGCTTACAGATATCCCCACTGAAAAGGAATTTGGAATGCTATCAGCTCCATTGACAGCAACAAATCTGCTGGCCCTGATGGCTTCACTGCTGAATTTTACATGAAATCTTGGGAGATCATTAAGGCTGATGTCATTGCTGCAGTAACAAGCTTCTTCCTATGCAACAACCTTCCTAATTATTTTTATGCCTCCACCACTTTGCTAATTCCCAAATCTGATTTACAGCAAAATTGGAATCATTTCAGGCTTATCTGCTTGACTACTATCATCAGAAAAACAATCAACAAAATTATTGTGAATAGGCTACAACCTCACCTAGATTTCATAATTAATCCCAATCAAATAGCTTTTGTGAAAGGTAGGTCCATCATTGATAACACTCTCCTGGCTCAAGAATTATTACAGGACTTGAACAAATCTTGTAAAGGGGGCAATGTGAAATATAATCTGTACTTAAGGAAAGCTTATGACACCATAAGCTGGAATTCCATAATGGAAGTCCTAATTGCTAGAGGTTTTAATATTTATTTGTGTCACCTGATTAGAAGATGGCTACACAATAATGAACACTTTATTTTGATAAATGGGCAAGGGAGGGGCCCTTTCATTGCTGTCAGAGGGTTAAAACAAGGGGATCCTTTATCACCCACCATTTTCATTCTTGCTATAGATTACTTATCTAGAATGTTGTATGAAGCTCTTCTAAATCACAGTCATATCAGATACCACCATTGATCTAATATTGCCATTACCCATTTGTTGTATGCTGATGACATAATGGTTTTCTCTAGAGCCAGTAAGAATGCCATCAAAAAAGTTTTCCAGATACTACAAAAATTCCAAGCTCACTCAGGAATGTTCTTCAATCCAGGAAAGTGTCAGATATCATTGGCAGAACCAAACAAATTCAATTTGATGAGGTCTTGAACAAAATCTCAAATCTTCTTAATGGATGGACACATACCTTCTTATCAAATGAGGGGGAGGATTACTTTGTTAAAAAGCATTATCACTACCTTTCCATCTTATATAATGCAAATGACTAATATTAAGAAAACCACTCAAACCCAGCTGGAAAGAATTTTCAATAAATTCCTGTGGTCTGGACAAAGGCAGCAAATGCATTGAGCTTCCTGGAGAAAAGTTGCTAAACCTCAAATTGTTGGGGGCGTTGGCTTTAAGAACCTTAATCAACTTCTTCAAATAAATTTTTGTAAGCTTTGGATAAAGTTCAGAGCTCAAGATTCCCTGTGGGCAAAATGTATGTGGGGTAAGTATTGCAAAGATCAACACCCCACCCTGGTGCTAAGGAAAACTGGAGATTCTAAAATCTGGGTGAAAATGCTGAATTTCAGACATATTGCTGAAACCACTTATAGGTGGGAACTGGGTAATGGTGATATCAGGTTTTGGCTTGACAATTGGTGTCCCAAAGACTGGTTATCCCCCATTACTAATATCTATAATAGTAATTTGAAAGTGGTTGATTGCTGGGATGGAGATGAGTGGTCCCTAGCTAAGCTTTCCAATCTGCTGCAAGCTCACTCTATTACTAAAGTGGCCAACATAAAGTTCAACAGAAGTACAACTGATAAAGTCCTGTGGCAAACTACCTCCCATCAAAGCCTTACCAAAGCCATATACTCCAAAAGTTTCAATTGGGAGCAAACGCTCTAGGGAAACAAGATTTGGAACAAATTTCTATCCCCTTCTATATCCTTTCTCTGTTGGAGAATATTTCATAAAATGATCCCTACTGATGACATACTTAAACTAAAGGGATTGAGGCGTCCATCTAAATGCTGGTTATGCAAGAATGAGGAGGAAACTTTGAATCACTTATTTTTTGAATGTAACTTTGCCCAACTGGTTTGGAAACAAATCTTGAATCAATTGACCATTGATGAGAATGATTTCACTTGGGACAGGCTTGTCAAGTGCTGGTTGAGCTGGCAGTAGAGAAAATATGCTACCATTCCCTTCATCGTTCCCTAGTTTATCTGGATGGAAAGAAACAAAGTTAAGTTTGAAGATGTTAATCCAAATATTTGGAAAATTGCTAGAAACTGTCTATCTTATCTTCATAAGATGATTAACTGGAAAAGATTTCCTAACGTCTCCAACTCCTGTCCAACAATAAATTCTGAACATCCTCAAGTTATCAGAGTCTACTGGAAAGCCCCAAACTCTCCCATTGTGAAGATTAATACAGATGGAAGCTTTACCAAAGATGGTGCTGGAGTGGGTGGCATTTATAGAAATCATTTGGGTAAGTGTCTGTTATATTTCTACACCCTAGTTATGGCCACTAATGCAACTGATACTGAACTTATTGTTGTGTATTGGGCAATCATCCTTTCCATTAAGGCTAAGTGGAATAAGCTTTGGTTAGAAGTGGATTCTGCTATAATTATTCACCTCTTAAATCATGAGGAGGGAGCTCCCCGGCATCACTCATACTGGCTTAATAAAATCAGAGATCTTAGTAGCATGGTACAAATTCACTTCACTTTCATATATAGGGAAGGAAATCAGCCTGCAAATTGGTTGGCCCAGATTGGATCACATTCTAACATGACTGAGGTTGCTGCTAACCCTCCACCAACCCTGCATTACCTGCTTCAAGGAGATACTCTAGATGTTCCTCACTTCAGAATTGCTTATATAGACACATGACTACTTTTTGTGCAAATGCATTTTACATTCATTTTTCTTTCTTTGTTGAGTCATTGTAATTTCCCTTTTTGGGAGGTTGGTCCCTAGTCTTTTTTGGGGGAGTTCTTGTGTTCTTGTATTGAACCAAAAAGAAGTCCCCAGTCCCTCTTTAATGTCTGTACTAGTTTATTACTTCAACATGTACGGAGTCATAAACAACTCCTTCAACCAATATATATATATATATATATATATATATGTATGTATATGTATGTCAATATTTGCTTTTTTGTGAAGGAGCTAAAGCAGCTCCAAATGCATTAAAATAAAGCACAAAATTACAATCAAAACTGAGGGGACCTAACAGACTGTAGGGCCTTCTCACCAAAACAAAAACCTACTCAGGAATAGATCTAATAAAAGGAAGAGGCAAAAGATCCCCATACAACAAAAACTCTAGAGAAGGTGGGACAGTCTTGCTAAAGAGAGTCTATTCAGAGTGAAGACCAAATCTTGCCAAGTAATTAGCAGCTCTATTACCCTCCGTAGGAATGTGGGAAAAAATTGGATTAATTCCCAATCCTAAGTTTTGCATACCAGCAGTCAAACACACAAGATGTCAAGCATAGCAACTAAGACCATTCAAGATATTGATTAAGATGAGAGAGTCAGATTCCACCCAAAGATTTCTCATACCACACCTTCTAGCTAACAAAATGGCCCAATAGATAGCTTAAGCTTCTACTTCCAAAGGATCCCTTGCCCAAGCAAGTGAATGAAAAAAGAGCAGGCACACACCATTACAGTCCTTGAAGACTCCCCCCATACCAGCATGGGGGGCTAAGAAATTGCCATCTTTATTAACTTTAACCCATCTCGTAAGGGGGAGTGCCAATATATCAGTGAGGGCTTGAGAGGAATGGAAAGTCTATGAGCAGCTTGATCCAGAATATCACTAAACTTCTTAAACTTAAAAAGTTTCTGAATATAAGCTAAGAAATTATGAGCAATCTCATTGACCTCCAAACTAGTTTCCTCGAATTTGATATTATTTGTAGCCATCCACACAAACCATGCAACAATACAAGGCACCACAAACACATTGCATTCCAGTCACTCTTCCCAGCATTGAAAGAAATCCATTCAAGATGGTTGTAAAGTAGGGATCTTAAACTTGGTCAGGATGCACCTCCATACCTGTTGAACTGCCAAACAGTTAAAAAGCAGATGGTTCAGGGACTCCTCCTCCATCTTGCATAATACACATCAAGAAAGACCCCTTAATACTTTCAATTTTAAAATTTCATCCATGGGAAGAAGCTTATGAAATAACCTCCAACAAAAAAAGGACATTGATGGTGACAAAAATTTACACCAAACCCTTGAACCCCATCGGTCCTCCTACTGAGGGAAGCATTTGTCCCAAATAAAGGTAGTCATAGTTTGTGATTCACTATTTTTCACTACCACTTTATCCTTCTTAGATGAAAAAATTGAGATTTTTTGGATGCTAGATATCTAACAAGAGTCACATAGTGTCTAAAGAGCCAGTAAATTCCAACCCCCATCCACGGAAAGATCTGCCACTTGTAAAGAGTCATCAGTAGCTAAAGGGTAACTATGAGCCAATCTACCATCAAAAGTCCAATTGTCCAGCCAAAAGTTAAATTTTCCTTCCCCGACTTCCCAATTGAAGAGTTTTTCTGCCTCAATTTTGACCTTCAGCGTATTGGTCCAAATTTTTGAGTTCCCAATTTTCCTTTGCACAAGCATAGGATGAAGATCTTTACAGTATTTTCACATCATGTACTTAGACCATAATGAACCTTGTGATCTAAATTTTATCCAAAGCTTACATAAGTTGATGTGAAGGATTTGAGGAAAGGTTTTAAATCCAGACCACAAACCTTGGTGGCCTTACAGACCTTCTTCCAACTAACCCAATGAGTTTGTTTCCTCTGACCAGCCCACAAAAATTTATTAAAGATTCTTTCTAGAGTTAATTGAGTAGATTTCTTCATCACAACCATCTGGCATAAATAATAAGGAAGGGTGGCTAGTACACTTTTCAATAGTGTGATTCTACCCCCATTGAACAAAAAAGAGTTCACCCAACATTCTAATTTATCCTGAACCTTCTCCACCATATGATCAAACTGAATTTGGTTAATCCTTCCTTTTAAAAGATAGGCTCCCAGATACTTTAAAGGAAGGGAATTAATACAAAAACTAGTAGACTTAGAAATCTAGTGTTTAAGATCATTTTTAAACTTGTGGATGAAAACTACCATACATTTCTGGGAATTTAACTACATACTTGAGCTAACTTGGAACTTCTCTAAGCATTGAAGAATCAATTTAACAACAAGTTTAGTAGCTTTAAAAAATAAAATAACATCATCAGAAAAGCCAGATGGTTAGTAATCACATTAGACCTGTGACTATACAAAGAAAATGGAGCCTTTGATGCCACTTGCTTTAAGCAGCCTAGACAGGTAATTAAATGCTAGAATAAAAATTGTGGGACATAATGGGTCACCGTGCTTGATTCCCCTTGAAGCACTAAACAAACCATGAGAGTTGGCATTAATAAAGTTAGATTAGTAGCTTTTGGAAATCCATCTGTTGATAAGAGATATGAAAGAAGGTGAGAAACCTATGACAGTGAGCACCTCCTCAATGAAACCCCAATGTATAGTGTCATATGTCTTTTAAATGTCCAACTTGAAGATCACATTGCCCCTTCTACATTATTTATCCAGATCCAAAACCAATTCTTGCACCAACTGAACATTATCTCCTATACTTCTCTCATTAACAAAAATAGACTAATTGTCACATATAAGCTGAGGAAGGTGAAGTTGGATTCTAACAGCTAACACCTAACACCTAACACCTTACTAATAATTTTTGACATCACATTAGTGAGGCTAATTGCTCTAAAGTGCTCCCATTTATGTTTGGCTTTATCTTCTAGAATCAAGGCGATGGTAGAGCAAGTAAAGTAAGTAGGCAGGTTGGTACCCCTAAAGAAGCTCTAAATAGCCACAATTACATCCTCCTTGATAATATTCCATGCCTTTTTGTAGAAGTCAGCTGTGAAACCAGCTAGACCTGCAACTTTTGAGTTGTCAATTGAGGCTAAAGTAGACATTCTCATCAAGTACAAAAGCCATCCTGGATAAATATTTCTTTTTTATTAGGTGATCTAACAGTCAGTGGTTGAGTAATGATCCCTTTGAAGTAGCTCACCACACTAGAAGCAATAAACTCAGTAGTGTTAAGCCAAATTCTAGTAGGAACATGAATCTTTTGGATTGTATTACATTTTCTCCTAAAATTAATACAAGCATGAAAGAATTTAGATTTTTTGTCCCCCCTCATAGAACTTGACTTTGGCAGCTTTTTGTGCATAGAACTCTTCTTACATAGTAATGGAATTCATCAGATCTTCATTAGCTTTAAGGAGATCAGAGCTGACCTCTGGATTAAGTTCCAACTGCTTCTTCAATTGAACCACTACTCTTTCAGCCTCCTACACCCTAGCATTTATATCACCAAAGACATTCCAATTCCACTGAGAAAGGTGTTTCCCCAATTTCTTTTAGAGCATCCAAATTTTGATCAAAGGATTCAAATGAGAACAATCCTTCCATGCTTGAGACACCTGGTGCAGAAAATCATTATGTAAAGACCACATATTAAGGTAACTGAAACAAGTTTTAATTTTTGTGGGGGAAGCTGAAATGGTGATAAGAGGGGGTCTATGATCAGAGGCAGTCATAGAAAGATGTTGAACTGAGGTGTGAAGGAATTCCTTTAGCCAAACATCATTAACCAAAATTCTGTCAAATATTTCCCATAACTGTCCTCTTCATTAAGTATATTTTGGGCCATTATATCCCAAGTCAGATAATCCTGATAGCTTAATATTATCATTAAATCTGCTGATCATATTTAAATCAAGCAATCTACCCCAAAGTTTTTCATTAGGATAGGCCAAACAATTAAAATCCCCCTACTAACTAGAAAGAATAGAGGGATTTGCTAATATCCAATAGATGGCTCCACAATTCCTATCGGGCCAAGGAAGAACATCCAGCATAGATGAAAGTGCCATGCCACTGCTCTCACTCAAGGTAAAGGTCAGATGAATAAATTGTTCATTATCCCTGAGTACAGTATAATGGATTTATTTTCTACATAATATCCATAGTTTATTGTTAAGATTATAGAAGCATTAAAAACCATGGAATTTTTTAAGGATCCTATGATGGTGCTTGGAAACCAAAGGTTCCAAATCAGAAATAATCTAAAGTTTGTGCATCCTATTAAGAGCAAGGATTCTGTTAAGGGGCTTAGGATGGGCCTGTCCCCTAACATTCCAACACAAAAAGTTCATCATCCAAAGGAAGTTGATTTCCCCCTTCTTCTAGTTCTAGCAATAAAAAGAACATGCTGAGAAGTACCCTCACCTACTGTTAGAGGCCCATCCAAGAAATTCCTTAACTTTCAAGCTCCTTTGTTTTTATTTCTATTTTTCTGGGTTTGTTATTCCTCCTCAATGACAGTTTTCATTTGATGAATCAAACTATCATCCAAAGAACCTCTCCACTTAGGTTCTCTACCAACTTCTTGAATCAAATCAATAGCAGGTTGCCCTTCCATAACCTAATTCATCTCAACCTCTAGATTCTCTCCAAGCATCTCAGAATGCCTTTGAGTAGGAGCTAGACCCTCCCTCTCAGCAAGTGGGGAGGTACCCTCAACCAATTCATCTGCGATCCTGCTGAGATCTCATGTTGAAATCCTATCACCTTATAATCCTTTCTCCAATGAAGTACCCAAATCTTTAGAGTCCTTAGAGGCCTCCTCCTGCCTTTTCCTTTTGTTTGGATGCAACCTGAAACACCTATCATCTGTATGTCCAAATATTTTATAGTGATGACAAGAAACACCTATCATCTGTATGTCCAAATATTTTATACTGATGACAACAATAGGTTCTCTACTCAGCTATG